ACTGCTTGCTATTTAAACATTGGAACAAAGTGACTGATTTTCCTATAAATCAACATATATTTTTGGAAATTTGCTGAATTTCAGAACATATTTAATTACCAGTATTGGAATGTGAGAGAAACCTTAAACTATCTAATTTAATGAGTGATACATTTGAATAAGGAGGAATACTTTTATCGGGCCATGCCAGCTCTCCTGCTTTCTAGGCCACTGGGAGGTTAAGCGTGAGCTGGGAGTGTCTGTTTGAATTCAGAAAAGGATGGGTTCTGCCTTGTCTTGGGAAGCCAGCCAAAGACTGGCCTTTCGACATCAGGGACTTCTTGAGGACTCAGGTTTCTGGACCTTAAGGCGCGGGAGTGAAGGAGAACTGGAGTTACAACTTGGAGCAGAATGAGCTTTTTCCCTCTGGAATTTTTTGTTTCTTTTTGGGGGCTGTGAGCTTTGTCAACCACTAGGTGGCTTTAGTTCCCTGCAGTGACAGGCGCAGCCCCATAGGCACTGTGGGTTGTTTTCACATTTCACTTTCGGAGATTAATTTCATTTTGGGTTGACTTCGTTTTGTGAGGTGGATGACAGAAGCAATTCTTGCAACTGGACTTTGAGGATCCTCACTCTCACTGTCTTGATTTGGGGGTGAGGAGCTTTGGGAGGACCTCTCCAGGTTGACTCAGCTCTAGAGCAGCAGCGTGAGAACTCGGGCTCTCCTGTTCTCATTTAGCTCTGCTGTCCAGTAGCTCTTACTTCTATGAAGCCATGTCACAGGGTCTGTGGCACTTACTGTACATGGGCCTCAGAGAAGGTACAGCATCTATAGTGTATAGGAACGTTGTAAATTATGTTGGTTGTTTTTGTCTTTTTGAGACAGTCTCACCATGTAGCCCAGGCTTGTCTGGAACTCAAATTTCTCTTGCCTCAGCTTTTTTTTTTTTTGGTTTTTCGAGACAGGGTTTCTCTGTGTAGCTTTGTGCCTTTCCTGGAACTCACTTTGTAACCCAGGCTGGCCTCGAACTCACAGAGATCTGCATGGCTCTGCCTCTCAAGTACTGGGATTAAAGGCGTGCGCCACCACCGCCCGGCTTTGCCTCAGCTTTTTAAGTGCTGGGATTATAGGTAGCCACCATCACATCTACCTGGAATGTTGCATTTATGGTAGGTAGTGAAGTGGTTGCTGGGGTCACTTTGTAGGAAAGACTGAGGATAACTTGTTCTCAACCCAGTTGAGCTTTTATGTTAACAGCATGACTATTGCAATGATACAGAGTTGGAGAGATTTAAAGTTATTTCTTCTGAGTTTATTAGATCTCTGTCTCTCTCTCCTCCCCTCTGATTAATTGTTCTTCCAAGAACTATTAATTAAGAATAGGGACAACCAATTGATACATCCATAATGCAATCCCTACATGTGAGGTTCAAGGATAATGGTGGAATAGAGCATGGAAATATTGTAAGAGCCAGAGGGCCAGGATACCTGCTACTAGATAGTGTCTTGTAGACATACCAGGGAGGCTGTACCCGTGAGATCCCAACATATGATTGTCTAAACAAGACATATATAATGGAAACACCAGTTGATACACCAGTGTGGATGGGAGAAGCATCACAAGGCCACACCCCTAGATGAAGAGCTACAGGGAACCAATGGTTGCTAAGAGAGGGAGAATCAGTCTCTTGAAGGGACAAGCTCTCTGATAAGTTATCCAACCCTAAGAGGTCAGGCCTAAACACATGTACAGATGAGTAATACTAAAAGGACTTAAGAGGTTTTGTGTGTGTGTGTATGTGTGTGTGTGTGTGTGTGTGTGTGTGTGTGTGTGTGTGTGTGTATGTGTGTGTGTATATGTATGTGTGTGTGTGTAAAATAATAATTGAAGAGGTCATGAATTTGAGAAGAAGTGGGGAGGTCATGGGAAGAGTTACAGTGGGTGATCGAGGGTAGAAGTGATGTAAATACAGGACTAATGTATGAAATTCTAAAGAAAGTTAAAAAGAATTATATCAAGAAAAACAGTGGCAAGTAGGGCCAAAACAGCATGGTGGACTGGAGAGACGGCTCAGTGATTAAGATCCCAGCACCCACGTGGTAGCTCAAAACCATCTAACTCCAGGGCAGGGGAGCCAGCTCCTCTTCTGGTCTCCAAAGGCACGAGGCATACACATGGTGCACAGACATACATGCAGGCAAAACACAAAACAGACATGTAGATCAACAGAATAGAACAGAGATCCTGATATAAACCCACACAGCTACAGCCACTTGGATTTTGACAGAGATAGTAAAAATACCCATTGGAGAAAAGCATGCCTCTTCAAACATGTCCTTGGGAAAATTGGATATCCATGTGTAGAATGAAAATAGATCCTTATATTTCACCCTGTGTATAACTCAACTCCTGATGAATCAAAGATGTTAATGGAAGACCAGAAACTCTCTAACTACTCGGGAAAAAGTAGGAAAAACAGTCAAGATAGAGGAATGAGGAAGGACTTTCTTGATAGGACTCTAGTCACTCAGGAGTAAGGCCGACAATTGACAAATAGGATCTTATGAAATTAAAAAGTTTCTGCATGTCAAAGAAAACAATAAAGCAAAGAGATAGCTTACATGATGGGAGAGAATCTTTACTACCTATATGTCTGACAGAGGATAAATGTCCAAAACGTACAAAGAACTGAAACAAAACAAAAAAGAAACTAATCACATCAACAAAGAAGCTAATGAAATGAACAGATGGTTCTCAAGGATGAAACACAAATGTTCAATGAACATTTCAACTTCATTAGCTATCACAGAAAACAAATCAAAATTAGATTCCATCTTACTCTAGTCATAATGCTAGTGATTAGGAAAAGGTAACAAATGCTGGCAAGTGTGTAGACAACAAGGAACCTATGTGCTGCTGGTAAGAAGGCAAACTAGTGTACTACTATGGATATTGGTTTGGTGGCTTCTCAATAAACTGAAGATAGATTTACCACACGACTAGTACTTATCCAAAGGATTCCAAGTCAGTTATCTGCAGAGACACTTGTACCCACATTTATTGCAGCACTATTTACAACAGCTAACTCATGGAACCAACAATGTAAGTGTCCAACAGCAGAAGAACGTAAAGGCAAATATGGTAACACATGCACAACAGAGCTTTTTCCAGCCAAGAAGAACGAAGCCATGTCAATTGCAGGAAACTGATGCCAGAACAAGATAAATCATACTAAGTGAATTACTTGTCTCAAAAGCAAATGTATGTTTTCTTCTCATTTATCATTTCTAGATTTTTATATAGATTCTTAAAATCTGGCATGCATATATGACATGAAAATGGGAGTAAAATTATCTAGGGGGACAAATGGGGACTAACAGGAGAGGGGGCAGGGAGCAAGCAGGTGGTTGAGGATATCAGGGGAAATAAGCCCCCCCCCCCAGGACATATGTGTATGGACATTTAAAACAACAAAAAAGGCAACATGTTTTTGTTAGGTCAAAGACCAAAGTAGAACATATAACAAAAATGGAAGGAACTCATATATTAACGCCAAATGGTTTAGGACAATGTTGAATTTTTTTCTATGAATACCAAGGAACAAGCAAATACAGTATTTCCTTCAACTGCTTTTTATAGTATGTTAAGAGAAATGTGTAATTTTAATTTCTAAACATTGCATATTAAAATCAGCCATAATGTATATATTACAGGTAAGTTTTAGAGAGAAGCAGAGATGAAGGACCCTGAGAAGGAAGAGCGAGAACAGTGTCTTGATCCATTCTTTGCTGCTATTACAGAAATCCAGAGATTGAGTGGTTTAGAAAGGAAGGAAAATTGTTTGACTTATGCTTGTGGAGGCTCAGGAGTCCAAGATTGAGGGTATACATCTGGTGGAGATCTTGTTTCAGCATCTCAGGGTGAAGTTTCAGGATGTGGAGGGAGGGAAAGGGAAGGAGGGAGGAGGGGAGGATCGAAGTGGGGGGAAGGGAGGAGGGAAGGAGGGAGTGAAGGAAGGAGGAAAGGAGTGGTGGGGGCGGGTGGCGGGGGAGAGACCGACACTGAAGCTCCTTGTCTGGAAGATCTTTCCTAATCAGTCTTGATCTGTGAGGGTAAAGCACTCATGTCCTGATGCCGTCTCTGAGGTCCCGTTTGAGGGATGCACCCAAACAGTAGATGATGAGGAAAAGGAATGATATGAATCGGAATAGCGGTGGAGAAAGAGCTGGTGCTCAGGAAAGTGGCCCTTTCTGTCTAGGAATGGGGAGAGAAGAAAGGAACCAGAAAGCTCCTTGGGTAGGAGTGTGTGTTAGGGACGCCTTGAGGGGTCCTGAGTGGAAAGAATTAGTCCCAAGAATCCAGAGGAGGAGAGATCATATCTACTTTCAAGACTTCTTTTTTCTTTCTTTCTTTCTTTCTTTCTTTCTTTCTTTCTTTCTTTCTTTCTTTCTTTCTTTCTTTCTTTCTTTCTTCCTTCCTTCCTTCCTTCCTTCCTTCCTTCCTTCCTTCCTTCCTTCCTTCCTTCCTTCCTTCCTTTCTTTCTTTTTTTCAAGACATGTTTCAGGTCTCCAACGTCTTTGCTGTGGCTGTCCCTCTCTTGGGGTCACTTCATGGCTGTCCTGGCCTTGAGCACATGCCTTATTCTGTGCCTTCAGCTAGAAATCTAGTCTCATCTCTTGCTCCATTGGTGCAAGTGGAATTCACATGTTGGATATGACATTGACAAGTGGCACCTGTACTGTGGATTAAGATCAGTATTCAAGATCAGAATTTACCATGTAATTAGATTCCTTTGGTAGACAGATAATACATTTCAATGTTTATCCACTTCTGTAATACATCTTAACACTGAGTGTACATCTATAAATATAGATGATGTTTGAAACATTAAAATTGAGTTTTGGAAATAAACATATTTTATACTTATTTTTTTAATGGTGTATAAAGCTGATTTGAGTAAAAATGTCATTTGTCCAGGCTGATAATTAACCATGTCTTATATTCTCTTGCACGCTACAGTGATTTGAAGGGCGTGATAGTGACCCTCAGTGACGATGGTCACCTGCAGTGTTCATATCTGGGGACAGATCCTTCTTTGTTCCAAGCTCCAAAAGTTGAATCAAGAGAGCTCAACTATGATGAACTTGATGTAGAATTGAAAGAACTTCAGAGAATCATCAAAGATGTAAAATCACAAGGTATCTCATTTGCAGTTTTTATTGTATAATTTTAATGTTAATTATAAAGTTCACCTTATGTTGTATATGGATATTGCTCTGTAAATATTAGTTAAATTTCACTCCCAGGCCTAGTTCAAGATTTTGAATAAAGTGTTGCTCTTTAGCATACAAGTGCCTTGTGCTGACTTTGTATAGGTGGCTCCTGAAAACTAGTCTTATTGAAGATACTGTTGTGGTTAATGTGTTCTAGGGACAGCTCTGTCTAGACTTTAGGTATTTTGCCTTCTCAGTGAAGGCGAAGTAGTTCTTGGTGGTGCTAGGCTGGTGAAGAGCACTGAAGCCTACAGTCAGTCAGTAACTTACAATATCCTTGGTTTCATTTGCTTCTTTGAAAAGAGATCCAAGTAGTACATGAATTGCCACTTTGTTACTAAAAATGTAGTAATTTGCAGCTTATATGATATAATTTATGCTTGGAGTTAATTAGCCGTCCAAATGGAGTGCAGTCTGGGATACTCTGATTTCCAATGACGCAGGGACTGGTGATATTTTCAGTTCTCAAGTTTTGAGTAGCTCAATGTTATTTTATGTCCGGACTCACAAGGGTGTAATTTTATTGTAAATTAAAAGGAGAAACAAAACACCAATCCTCTGGCTCGTGTTGGACATGTGAAAATCATTACTTTAAGTTCCCTTTTCAGGGTCAGGTAAAAGTATTTTCTTAATGAGAAAAAATATGGACCATTTTCACATAAAAGAAATGTTAAAACAAGTAGTAATAATAAAAGAAACGGAGCATCAAAAGCCAACCAAAGCAAGAGAGCCGATCTTAATCCTGGTCTGTTTGCTTCGCTCGGTTTATGTACTTTTTGATCTCTATTGCCAGGATTATATTCCTCTGTCTTTAGGAACTGAGATGATATATTAAAATAGGAGTATTAAAAGTAAAGATGTTATGCTTTGGCTTCACACGTTCTTATAGAAAGTTTTCAAAGTAAACTATTGAAATGGAGATCTTTCAAGCCTCTTGTCAGCATGCCTCGTCAGAGGGGAAGTGATGAAGATGGATGCATCAGGCTGCAATATACAGTTTAAGTTTTCAGTTTTGATACCAATATTTTAGAGGATGAATGGAATTTACAGTTTTTTTTCATTTTAGTGTGTAATTGGAGAAGATTGTTATATATCTATATATAACAATATATATAACTATAAACTATATAACTATAAACTATATAACTATAAACTATATATAAGTTTCCCAAGCTCATTAAATAATGTGGGTTTTACTCGAGTTTCTGTCTTGTAATCCTTGCCATTCCACAAGGAATGGCTAATGGTAGTTTAATTAACATGAATTATGTAAATTGTTCAAAAATCCCGCATAGCTAATTATTATCTCCTAGTAGTCACAGTGATGCCCTTCAATGAAAAGGCTTGGACGTTTTATTTGCTACTTCCTTAATCCTTTTGTTTATCTTGAAAAAGTTTCTTTTAAATAATTATTATTTTATTTTGGGGGGGGGAATTTCATACATGAGTACTGCATTTATATCAGTTTCTACTCTTGTTTTTCACCCTCCACCTCTTCCCATGCCTTCCCACTCTTCAAATCCATGACTTCTTCTCTTCTCCTTTAATTGTTATTACTGCACACACACACACACACACACACACACACACACACACACACACACACACACACGCATAAATATAGCCTGCTATGTCCATTTAGTATTGCTCATATGTGTTGGTGTTTAGGGCTGACCTTTTGGAATTAGATCACCTATGACAGGGCTTGTCCCTGGAGAAGACTGATTCTCTCAGCAGCCATTGACTGACTGTAGCTCTTTATCTAGGGGTAGACCTTGTGAGATTTCCCTATCCATGTCAGCTTGTGCAGTCGTGTTTAGGCAGCCGTATTGTTTAGATTTCATGGGTGCAGCTTCCCTGTGATATGTAGAAGACATTGTCTCGCAGCAGATACCTCAGTCCTCTGCCTCTTATACTTGAAACCTTCTCTTCCACACTGGTCCCCGAGCCTTAGCTGTGGGGCTTGTGTTATAGCCATAGTGGTTGGGATTTGGCTCACAGTAGTTGTTCTCTGCATTTTTTCCAGTTGTAGATTTCTGTGATGGTCTCTGAGGCAAGAAGAAGCTTCTTTGATGAGTGAAAGTTACACTTATTTGTGGATTTAGGGGTAAGGTTTTGGACGCAGTTAGAAATTATACCAGCTTAGCAAGGTGGCAGTCATAGACTCTCCCTTCAGCTCCACGACCTCAACAGCCATGGGGAGTTGCCTGGGTTTACAGGACCAGGCACAGTTGCCTCCTCCTGAGTACACTTTAAGTCCATTTATTTGGCTCTTGGATCAAGTGCCATGCTGCACTCTTGGGGACATCTTGCTGTGCTGACGGTTGTGGTTTGTAAGTCTTACAGCTGGGAAGGACTATTGATTATTTGTTTCTCTTGGCAACTTGCATAGGACCTTAAGGTTCAACAAAAGTTAGTCCTGAGAGAGGAGGCTTCCAGATCAGTTCCAGCTTGATTCTTCCAAGTCTTGTGTCTGAAGTATGTGGTGTCCTCAGAAATAAGGTCTTACTTTCAAGTTCTGGAAGACAAGTTTTTGTCTTCAGAGTCTCTTGAACTCCCACAACTCAGTAGAGGTTGCCCATGCTTGGCATGGGTTTTTGCTAGACAGTCTGTGGCTCTTGTGGCCAACGTCATCACCACAATTGGTATAACTTCATTCAAACTATGTACATGTGTACACATTTACATTTATTATGTATTTATTTTTAAGTGAACATAAAACAATAGCTTTTCCAAATATCCTTAGTATTATTTACTGACCCACCATAGTGCCCACCTTCCTAACTTCCTAATCATCACTTCCATTTCCCCCATTTCCCCTCGATAGCATCTGTATCCTTCTATCCCTTCTCTCTAGAACTATCCACCCTCTGCCACGAGGCCATTTTATTTTATGGTTACGTGTCTACTCTAGATATATTACTTAAGCTAGGGGTGCACCCACAGACTTGGACGAAAGTTGTTTTTTACATAATCTCAACATTTGATTAATGTTTAAACTTCTCTGTATTTTTGTGCTACCTTTGTTTGGTTTCATTTTTAAAATAGATACAAAGAGAAACTTTTAAGAAATAGAAGATTTTACTCTATTTTATTTCTAGACATAAAGAATATTTAGTGTTCTGTTCCTTTGTGAAAGTTTGATATTCCTATTCACCTAAATACTTTTAATTATAGGAAATGACATATTATTTCAATATAGATCATGAAAAGTCTGAATGCTAAAGTTCTGGATGACCTCATTGTTCATTTTACTGACACTTTAGTATAGTGGCTTTTTAAAAAAATAAATTTGTTACATAAATATTTAAAAATGGAACAATTTGTTTCATACAATATATTTTGTTCCCAGTTTTCTCTCCCATATCTCCTCCCATACCCTCTCCACATCTCTACCCATCCAACTCCATGCCTTCTTTCTCTCTCTCATTAGAAAATAAATAGGCAAATACAAAAACCATAGAAGCCGTGCTGAAAAAAAAAAAACCCAAAACAAAACAAAGAAAAAAAACACAAGAATCACATAGATACATATATACACACAAAAAAGCCAAAACCAATAAAAACACAGAATTAGAAACCATATTATACAAGCAAAATACCAATAAGATAAAATATGCCCAAACAAAGCAATATGAGACAAAAAGTCTACAAAAATACCATTGAGTTCATTTTGCACTGGCCCTCTACAGCTGGGCATGGGGCCTACCCCAAGTGTGTTTATATACCCAGAGAGACTCCATTGGAGAGAACTGTTTCCTTTGCCAGCGGTTGTCAGTTAAAGATAGCTTCTTGGTTGGGGTGGGAGCATGTGTCTACTTCCCCCTCTTGGCACTGGCTTGGACTTGTGCGGCCCCTCTCTATGCTACCACAGCACCCTGTGCATGCTGCCACAGTCTCTGTGAGTTCATACATGTGTCAGTCCATGTTGTATCTGGAAGACCCTGTTCCCTGAGTGTCTTCCATCCTCTCTGGCTCTTAGGATCTTTCTGCCTCCTCTTCTGCATAGCTCCCTGAGCTGAGGGGAGGGGTTTGACTTTTTTAAAAAATGTGCATTGTTTTGTGGGCTATATTCCATACTTAAAGCTTTTAAAAACTTTTTCAAAGAAAGGGTTGCAGCAAAATCTAAAACCAGTGTCAAGAAGATGTTTTGTTGCACACATGGTGTATAAATCTACTGTAATAAAATTTTTTGAAGCTGATTTTATGTGTGTAAGCTATATAGGGAATATATGTTATAAGCATGAAATTATAGCAATAATTTCTGTGCATATGGTGAAGCTTTTGAAAATCAGAGTGCTAGTATGAATCCTGCCAAGTGTTTTCATTAGGAGGAGTCAACAATATCTTTCAGTGGGAACTTTCAAGAGATGGGGTTTCCATATGACTTAAGCACTTATCATACACTCTTTACCTAGTGTGTTCATGAAGCCCTGGATGTGGCATTTAAGTGTGCTTTCAGACAAGTGCAGAGTGCAGACATGGGCAAGATAAATACGTCTGTATTCCATTTGGAATATGTGTGGGCCGCCTTAGTTGATGCTATGTCCAAGAGCTTGGAACAGTTGAACTTAGTTTGTTCGTTCCCGGTTGTGTGTGGGTACATGTAACAGAATGCCGGAACATAGCAGCTTAGACAGAGGGGAGAGGCTTGTTTGTTTCTCTTGTGAAAGAAGCCGAGGAGTAGGCAGTTCAGGGTTGGCTCCACAATTCTTCAGGGACTTTGATCCTTCTATTCCAGCATCATGTCTTGGTTCAGGAATGCTTCTGGAACTTCTGCCTCACATCTGCAGCTGAGTCAGCCCCTAGAGGAGCTTTCCTGGAAGGCACACCCTGAGCAGCTTAAGCTTTTATCTCACTGACCCTTCCAATCTGCAAAACAGCCCGGAAAGTTTCGTGGGGTTTGCTGATGGCTGTCCTTCTGGACAACACTGAGCTGCTTTTAGTGAAGAAGCAAAGAGTGGTTATCACATGGCCAACAAAGAGCCTTTCATATCCTTCCTAGGTTTAGAATTCCCTTTTCAGACTTTGCTGTAGTGATGGATCCACCTTGTGGTGATTTAGGATAGTCCTGCTGTGAGACACCCGAGTCAATGGTATTATCCTCCATCCTCAGCGTGTGTGAACCTTTCCTTTTAAAGATCTTGGGTAGCTGTAGATGCTCTAGGCGTTGTGTGCAGATAGGATTTCCAGACATGAAGGCTGTTCTTCAGAATCCCCCTTTTAGGGAGAAACAGCTCTCATAAAAGCATATGTCTCCACTGCCCAGCCCCAATACCTCTGGTCATGCTATTAAGAGCTGTTCACATCTAAAACAACCACTGTGATTAAATTTGACCCTGGAGTCAGGGGAGGAACCTTTTTCTGTGGTGAAGTTGAAGACTTCCACAACAATAGTGCTTGGCCACAAAGAGAAATGTGGGAAGAGTGGATGTTGGCTGTCAATTATCTGATCTGTATGAACGTGTATGCACATATATTTATTACTTAAAATATGTTATTTAAGCACATATGTTATTTAAGCACATATTTGTGTGACTATACATAAATACATACGTATTTTATACATATCTATAAATATAATTTGTTTCTTATTTAGGATAACTTGCTTTTTGTAATATTTCTTTGTGCACCATAAACATTAAAATTAGGGAAATGAAATAGTATGCATTTGTTAGTCTACTTTGTGTTATAACAAAAGGCTTGAAGCTGAGTATTTATGAAGGAAAGTTTTATTTAGTTGACAGTTATGAGAGATTCAAGGGCATGAAGCCAAGACTGGCTTGTGTTTAGTAGTACTTCAGAGAAATGGGCGAGGTGGAGACAGAAGTATGTGTAAGGAAAACTGTGCATCATAAACCAGGGACACAGGGGGAAGGGAGGGGCTAGGTTTGCCCTGTTCCTAACAAGGCTCTTGTCAGAACTAACTGGGGTCACAGGAATGCTGCATCAGTTTCTTCCATGGGCCATGACCTTAGTAGCTGAAGGACTTCCTACCAAACCTCACCTTTAAAGATGCTGCCAATCCTTAGCCCTACAGAACCCGAGACCAGCCTTCAAAGAGACAGCCTTTGAGGGACACAGTCAAACCCTAGCTAAACCATATGTATGTGTCGGTGGTATATGTATGTCTGTGGTATATGTATGTGCATATAGTCTATGTGGTATATGTATTTATATGTGATATATATGTGTGTGTATGTGGCATATGTATGTACATATGGCATATGTATGTGATAAAATAATTCAGACATTACTAAAAGGATAAGTGTGGAAAGCAAGTCTCTTTGACCCTAGAACCTAGTTCCAGTCTTTGACTATAAGCCTTATTGAGTTTTGAATCTTCCTTCCTTCCTTCCTTCCTTCCTTCCTTCCTTCCTCCCTCCCTCCCTCCCTCCCTCCCTCCCTCCCTCCCTTCTTCCCTCCCTTCCTTCCTTCCTTCCTTCCTTCCTTCCTTCCTTCCTTCCTTCCTTCCTTCCTTTCTTTCTTCCTTTCTTCCTTCCTTCCTTTCTTTTTTTTTTTTTTGGTTTCTCAAGACAGGGTTTCCCTGTGTAGTTTTGGTACCTGTCCTGGATCTCATTCTGTAGACCAGGCTGGCCTCGAACTCAGAGATCCAGAGTTTTGAATATTTCTTAAAAATATTAAGTTTTGTTTACACCTTTTTTTTTTTTTTTTTGGTTTTTCGAGACAGGGTTTCTCTGTGCAGCTTTGCGCCTTTCCTGGAACTCGCTTTGGAGACCAGGCTGGCCTCGAACTCACAAAGATCCACCTGCCTCTGCCTCCCGAGTGCTGGGATTAAAGGCGTGCGCCACCACCGCCCAGCTTTGTTTACACCTTTTACACAGATATGTTCATGTTAGATTATACATCTTACTGTTTAAAATATTAAGAAGTACTTCTGAGTCCTTTCATGTTAGTTCACATGGGTTTATGAAATTCTTACTGCTCTGGACCACTGGATAATGTGGATATTTCATATTTTATTTAATCATCTCCTTATGAAGATACATAGATATTTAAATTGTTTCATCTTTTATTGATTATTAATAACAGAGACCCTCCTTGGGCGTGCCTGTGCATAAGCTCTTGAGTGTGGAATTGTTAAGTCAGAGGATCTTTACATTTTGTGTCTTTCCAGTGGGTTGTACTAGTTCAGGCTTTCACTAACAGGGAAAAACCTACAATTCTCAGTACTTGGTGCTTATTGCTCGGTACTTAGGTAGTACTGGAGGAAGACAATTTTTGTTCAATGTCTTATTGAGGAAAGAATTAGCATAAAATTTTTAATTCTATAATTCATTATATTTTTGACTCATGAGCATTTACAATTTGGTTTTTGATATAATCACAGCACATTTTACTTTATGATTAGATGTATTGTTTAATTACAGGTGTTTGGCCCATGACTGACAGAGAAGAGGACTTGAAAGTGTCTGCAGTAGTTTCCTCTAGCCTCGATTCTGTGTCTGTAGGTATATTTATGTATTTTGAATTGATTTAAATTCTAGGCTTCTTGGTAGGAACTTACGTGATGATAACACATTTCAGAGTTTGTTATTTTCTAGACTAGTGGTTCTCCACCTTCCTAATACTGTGACCCTTTAATGCAGTTCCTCATGTTGTGGTGACCCCAACCATAAAACTGATTCTTTGCTACTTCATAATTGTAATTTTGCTACTGCTATGAATTGTAATATAAATATCTGATATGCAGGATATCTGATATGTGACCCTGTAAAAGGGTCATTTGACCCTCAGAGATTGAAAACCACTCACTGTTCTAGATGAAAACCATCTCTTTTTTCTTAGTGTCTTGGCAGGATTTGTTTAAAAAAGGAGTGAGAGGTGAAGGGGCAGAAAGTTCCTTAAACCTTCTCAGTACCGTATTACTGAACCTGTCCCTGTTGATCTTTTAGAAAGTGAATGGGATGAGGCTGGAGAGATGGCTCAGTGGTTAGGAGCACTGACTGCCTTTTCAGAAGATCCACGTTTGGTTCTCATCCCCTAACTGGTAGCTCATTATGGTCTTTAACTCCATTTCCAGGGATCTGAGGCCCTCTTCTGGCCTCTGTGGGCACCAGTGTATACAAACAGGCAAAACACTCACCCCCACACATAAAGTAAAAATAAGTAACTCTGGAATAAAGAAGGTTTAATGAGGTAATGCTTCTGAGTGGTCCCTGTCCAGGTTTGATGGTTTATAGTCTTTCATATGTCACAGTAGTAACGAGGGCAGGAGTGTAGTATACACGGATAGTGGGTCCAGAAATTGTTTTCCCTCTGCTGGCCTCTGCTTTGTTGAGTTGTTACCGCTGTCATCATCATCAATCACATTTGTCTTTTCCGACATCACTTCCACCACCTCGTCCCACACCCTCTACTCATCTTGCTCACTGCCGTACGCTTCGGACCGGCTGTGTGTTGGGTGCTCTGTATCTGTTTGCTCTGTGACTGATTAAAATGGAGAAACAGGAAGGCTGAAAGGGGCTATTACTCCATGTCCTTGTTTACTCTTCCATAGAACACTTTTTTGTGTGTAATCATGTCTCATTGCTTGAGGTTTGTATGGAATTCATTAAGTTTATATGTATCTCTGTCCAAACTTGATCAGTTAAGTGACTGAACTTGGACATTTTCTGCATTTAGAGTTGATATCATCATGTAATTTTGCCTTGGAAATGTGTTTGCTATTTAAGTATCATAGCATAATATAGCAAGTGGTTGTCAGAGCCTTCAAAGATTAACTTTTGTATAACCAGCCAACTCAAATTATGGTACAAACCATGTTAATGTTGCTATGGTATAGTACATTAGGTGCAGTTAAAAGCGACAGGAACATAATGTGAAAGAAACATTGGCCCAGCTCACTCACACAGTAGAGGCTCTGTATGAAAGGTTTGCCCTTCAGCAGACACTGTTTTCACCCCACCTGAAGAGTGGAGTGGGAAGGGAGCTTAGTTAGCTGACAAATGTTCACACATTTTCTTACTGTGGAAATGACTCCTTTCCGCTATGTTGGGCAACCCATAGAGTTGTTTCTAGGCTCTCTGAAACATAGGCTATTTGGAGTGAGGAGTTCTCTTTGTCTTTAGGAACATTTTGGACTCTACATTGTAATATATTTTCCCTGACTGGTAACTTTGAGTGCTGTTTCTTCTTACTTCATGTCTCTTTCCTGCTCCATTTCCTGTCTTACTGTACTTCCTGTTTTATTTCTGTCTTCCTGCTTCATTTCCCCTGTCTTGCTGTACTTCCTGCTTCATTTCCCCTGTCTTGCTGTACTTCCTGCTTCATTTCCTCTGTCTTGCTGTACTTCCTGCTTCATTTCCTCTGTCTTGCTGTACTTCCTGATTCATTTCCCCGTCTTGCTGTATTTCCTGATTCATTTTCTCTGTCTTACTGTATTTTTTTTTTGAGACAGTTTCTCTGCATAGCCTTGGCTGGTATTTTTCCTTTCTAAGAACTGTTTTTAGACTATCATACTTACTTCGATGGAATGAATTAGCCTGACAGTTTATGTGGCTGTGGAGTCATGATGTCTTCTTACAGTCATTTCTCTGCTATGATTTCATGTTCCTCAGATACTGCTGTCCTTGAAATGTCTAGGTGTTTAGATATGGGTTGAAAAGGAAACAGGAGGTGTTTCCTGCTAGATCTGTAGGCAAATGTGAAGTTATTTCCTGGCTTTAGGTAACATAGTACTAGAGCAGAAAGCTTGAATTAATATTTTTTTAATCATTATTATGAAAGTGCAAATCTCTGAAAAAGAAGTAAATTTTTCTATTGGAATAGGATATTCTGCAGTAGAGACAAGCACCACGGTCTCATCTTCCTCAGGGAACAGCTTTATAGCTTTATCAGGGTTCAAATGGGACTTCCTGTGGAGCTGGAAGTAGAATGTGAATTTCTCAGCTCTTAATTCTTCAGATGCCCATGGCATCATAACGATCTCTATTTAGAAGTAGTTAATGTTTTTTGCATAAAAACCCAAATAAAATGTACAATAGATCTGATTTATTCACTGTGCACAGTCATTATAATCTCAGTTGTTCCGTATGAATCTATATGCATATTGTTAGAAAATGTATTCCCTCTTAGTCTTATTCTATTATAGAGTGAGTATTTTTCCCTCACATTGTATAACATTATAAGGAAATATTTGCCTTGCTCTATTATGCTAGAAGTTCTTTAAGCAGTAGGACCAGGCAAACCAAGCTAATGGTGATAGATTACCCACTGAACTCTTTTATGAGATGTGGTAGTTAAAAAAAATGCACTTCCATGTTTAGTTTCCAGGTGTAAGGTTACTCAGTATATCATTAATTACATGTCTCAGGTATAAATTATTAACCTGAATAAAGCATGCTTTTTATATAATGGTATAGCATAATGTTTCTATGGGAATTGGAAGGAGAGATTTGTCCATATACTATAAAGAGCTAGTTAGTAGCATTAATATTTTCAGCGTTCAAGTGAACTAACTTTTCTAACTCTTCTTCCCTTTTTGATGAGTGGGTTTTAAATATTGTTCATGATTTTCTACATGAACATTTCCAAAACGTCCTATGGACTCTTAGACTATTGTGTGATGAACCCTTCAGTTAGCTTTCTGTGTGATGGTGGAGAATGTCTGTTGCACCCAGTATATTCACTCAGTTCCAATGCTGTTGAAATCAGTAGGAAAACGTTTCTCAATTCTGTGTTTGCAGCAAGCCACTAATGTTGAAGTTGGAGCCGACTCCGTTCCGTCCATCACGGTGAAGGTAGGTACCACTTCTAGATGACAGTGGGCAGGCAGCATTGTGTATTCCAGCCTCTGGTCCCTGACACTTTCCTCAAGTGTACTGTCATGTAAATACATGCTTAAAATCTGGAGTTTTCTTCAATTTTGGTAGCGAATAGAAACCCTTGGTTGTTCCCTTCAACTCTAAGTTATAATTACACTTGTAGAAAAAATCATATATACACAGAAATGTGTGAGGCTTTTCTCCTCCCTTGTTTAAGAACATAGCATGACCTGGGCTCCTTTTTCTAGAAATAAGTTTTCTTTATAAGACTTAAAAGTCTTATAAAGTTTATCACTTAAAAAGTTTTCTTTATAAGACTTAAGTCTTTATAAGTCTTCTAAAGGATTTGTGTTATTACCATCCAGTTATAAGCCAGTCACTGTAGCATCACGTATGGATTGTGAAGGGATATTGGAGACGTACATGTATATTAAGAAAATCATTCTTTTATTATGATTACATATGTGTTTAAAAGAATTCTCAGGCATTTATCTGCTATGACATTAGCTTTAAATGGATGCATTTATGGGGAGAAAATATGAAATGAAGAGGCTATAAAGTAGAGTAATGACAAATTGATAGTCCTGGAAAAGTAGAACATGAATGATGTAGTTTTGGTTAAGAGTTTCAGTATTGTCACTGCAGAGTTTCAGAGCTAGAACTCAAATGTGGAATGTTCTTAAGGCACTTAAAGTGTGGTAATCAGTCAGCACGTTATTAAGCTGAAAATATTTATCACTGTCCAGACCTTAGAAGCCAGGAAAAGTTGTGGATCTTGGCGATTCACTTAGTCAAAACTTGGCCGACTTTCTGTTCCCTCAGATTTTAGCTTGCTGTCCTTGGAGAAGCTTGACAAGGTAGGAGGCTTTAGCAATTGTGTTCGCTTACACTGGCCCAGCGGGTGGCCCAAATGTGGAGATCTTTGGTAAGGCTGAAGGGAGCCCAGTCTTACAACAGTTTCCTAAGCTAACGTTTCTGGATCCTTGCCATTGGAAACAAGGGTGGTCTTTCTCCAGCCACCCTGCCCCTCCCCAATCACAGACTCTTCTGGAAAGGCATTAGTGGCAAGAAATCAAACACTTAAGAAAGAAGTAACTGCAGAGGTGCAGGAATGACCTATATGTTTGTGTAGGGAAGCTGTTTTAGATCTGTGTAATGGCATTGTTCAGACACAGTCATATGACCGTCAAGGCTCTCTCTACATTGCCAAAAGAAGTCTTGTGCCCAAAGCAGATCACACTGTACATGTCCCCACCCTCACCATCAACAGGAGGTGTTGCTATTAGTGAACACACGTTTCCCTCCCACACATTTCCTAGACTCTCGTTTGTACCAGCCACCTTAAAGTGATGACACGAGTTCAGGAAAATTCTCTTCATTGACTACACTGACCATGCCTCGGTCACAATTCTTCTTCTTCTCGCTGCCATGATAAAAGTAGAGGAGAGACCATGGCATGCAATGTCACATGACATGGGCCGGACTTACACAGCAGACAGGATGATTTTCTGATCCTGTCTGATAGTCTCTATACAAATTTCTGCTGTAAATCTCTCCTTATGGCCTTTTATAACAGCAGCAGCCAAGATATATACCCAGTAAAGTTTCCATCATAATAAATTCAGTTAATTGAGAAAATTTTTCCATCCGTTCCAAATGAATGAAGATGTGGCTACCTCGAGTATGTGTGCATGATGCGTGACCATCTGCTCCAGGCAACAGGCAGAGTGCTTGTTCATACCTGGCCTGGCAGTCGTATTTATATACCTAGGGTAAACATTTGGTGTTATATTTCCTAAGGATTATATTTTATTTCTTTAGAATCAGAAAATGGCATGGAAAGTTCTTGTATTAACGTTTTATATTTTCTCCCTAATATTCTACAATTATTTTCCTTTTAAAATATGAGGTTTATGATTTAGCCAAGTCTTTAATTCACTTTTTGGCTAAAAAACAACTATTCTTTGTTACTGTAGTTATTTTTGTCCTATCTCTTTGATTTGTGCTTTGAAAGTGCCTAGACCATTGTTGGATTCAATAAATCTGTTGGGGGAGCTCTCACGGTTGTTCATCTAACCCAGATGCACACCCTGAACAATGGGAGACTGTGTGATTGCTGTCTAAGCCACCACCATTATGCCAGCAGAGTCAGGATGTCTGCTGCTTTCCAAACAGTTTGTTATTACTTCAGGGAGTTGTCTCTCATGCTCACATGATGCTCCTGAGGGCAGTTTGCAGCCCTCTAGTACCCATGGCCTCAGTGGGGTTGGGCACGTTGTTTACTTTCTCTGCACTAACTTCTGAAGTGTAAAATGGGGACCTTTTTATTTATAAAGTTACGATTTAAACACTGCTGTGTGAAGGCCCGGCCCTGGGTTTTGGCAGAGAGCAGCTCAGTTACATTTCTCTCCCTTTTAATTAGTGACTTCAGGAAGGACTACTCGGCTCTCGGCACCGTGGTTTTTGGTCTTGTAGGATGCTGTGTGATAGTCCTTATTTCACACAGCTGTGAAGATTATTAGAGATAAGACACACAAATCACTCATGAGCATGCTTTATGAATACAGAAAGCCACTATGGCTATTACATTTAATTGTAGGTATGCAGAGGACATTGTGTTGTTGTTAATAGAAGAATACTTAATTGTGTCCTGTTAACTTACTGGTCCACCTAGCCATCTGAAAGATGCTGGTGTGTGCCACTTACACAGCTTCTTTTTGCCACAATCACCTTGAGGGTTTTGTCCCAGTGGCCAGACATCACTGAGGAAGTTTTGTTTCTGGTGCTGCCTTGTGCATTAGCAGGGTTTTTATAGTAAAATTCCAGGATACATTGTTTATTTGCTCTGTTTATCATATGTATTTGCCTCAATAATTTTCTCTTAAAAACATTACTTTACATCTCAAAACATTTTTGTTTGGATTATTTTTAGGTTGTTTAGAATATGTCACTTAAAATCAATACATAACATTTGCTGACTTTAATTATATGCACATTTTGTTTGTAGTCAATTATACATTTTTGTATATTTTACATTAATATATTTGTGTAATTGAGTGACAAGTGATGCATGCCTTTTATCTAAGAGACAGATCAAAACTAGTTTTCTTCATAATAAAGACATCATTGTGTTATGTCAGTTAACAATGATATGTGTCTACCTCATATGGTAGAATCTACTAACTAGATTGAACTGCTCTGTAGCAAAGGAAGAATCACTTTCAACCAACTGCTGATTCCAGGTTGTATATAAGGATCACCAAGGAGGTATAAAAATCTCAGCACTTGAGTTTGCCTCCAGATATTCTGAGTGACCCTATTACATAGACTAGTGCTTGGCTGTCTATTAATAGTTAGAAGAAGTCATCTTACACAGACAATTCCAAGATGCTGAAACTTGTAAGAAATCAGAACCAAAGGGAGAAGATACCCAATGCAAAGCAGGTGTTTCATTCTTTGATGCCCTCACTGACACATGGCACTGTACTCTAGTGAAGATGCTCGGGTCTGATGTTGCTACCCACACCCTCTTCAGAAAAGAGTGAGACATCCTGGCCTCCTGTCCCCATACCCATTCCTTCTTCTGGGCTAACTATTATCTCACATGTCTTAGCTTTTGGTTTTACAGGGGTAGAATTTCTTAGCATCACCAAGTAAGATCAGCAGTTTGGAATTTTAATCCCTCAGGAGTAGAGTAGTTAACACCCTTATTCTTTGATGGTGTCTAGAACTGGTTATGTCATAGTAATTTTGTGATTAGCCACAGAAGAAAATGCAGTGCTTTGATATGCCCTAGGGTGAAATTAAATCCATACAAGTGAGGAAATTATCAGGATAATTGCCGTTTGTAAAAATAAGTATACTGATACTAAATAAGATAAATAATCCACAATAGTATGAGTGTGTTTAAGGAAAGAACAAACACATTTATGCCATTATGCAGTTTTTCAATACAGATGAGAACAGCTGTTTTCTCTCTCTGTTACTCTGAGACATCACTATATATAATTATATGGTTCACAGTGATTGGTAGAATCTTTGCAGATTTGGCCAGCCATACCCCCATCTAATTTTAGAACATTGGACCCCTTAAAAGAAATGACAATAGCCATTGATTGTCCCTCTTATCTCTTTTATTTTGAAGCAAGTGCCAATCTATTTAATTTTTTTGTAGAGGTTGTCTGTTCTATTTATTTTATTGAAAATTTAAATAAAGTTTTTTGGAATTGTTTTGGAGGTAGGGTTTGTCTATATAACAGATAAGTTTTTTAATATAATATTTTTATTAATTCATGGAGGATTTTATACAGTGTAGATTGATCATATTCACCTCCTGTTATCCCTAAGTCCTCCCTGATCCTTGCCCACCAATAACTTCTGTAGTCTTTGTTTTTTAAAGGTCACCAAGTTCAGTTTGTCCTGCCCATATACTCAGGGATCTGGGGCCATCCACCAGAGCATGGTCAACCTACATCCCTAAGGAAAACTGTCTCTTCATGCCTCAGAAGTCATTAACGGTCAATTTCTTCTGAACTAGGGGTGGAACCTTATGAGCCCCTTGCCTCTCCATGTTGGAGTGTTGACTGGCTTGGTCTTTTTCAGGTTGTGTGCAGGTAAACACACCTGCCATGAGTTCATGGGCGCAGTGGTCCCGCCATGTCCAAAGACACTATTTTGCTTCTGTCTTCCTAACCTCTGGTTCTTAAAGTATTTCTGTTCCCTCTGCTGAAGTGGCTCCTGGGCCTTGCAGGGGAAGGGGAGCTATACATTTTATGTAAATAGAATTATACTATATGCAATTCTTTGTGATTAGCTTTTTTAAACTTAATATAATATTTTTCATAGTTTATGTGTCAGCTTCATTTATTTTTACTGAATGTTACTTTGTGGTATAGACCACGCTTTGATTGCCCATTGAGATGGACATTTGGCTTATTTATACTCTTTAGCCATTATGAAATTTTTTTTGCTGTGAACTGTTATAAAACTACTCATGTTTTACCAGGTTTCCTAATTATTTGTTAATGATTTTTAGTTGGTTGTAGTAGTTTGTCAACTTGAATAAAGTGGAATTTAATATTATCAATGATTTGTGTGTCCTTAGATTTCCCTGCAGAATCGAGTGGTGTTGCAAAAAGTCAAATTGTCAGTCTATGTGCAACCGCCATTAGTATCGACCTGTGATCAGTTTACCTTTGACTTCACGGGTAAGCTTCTTGTTTGTCCCATGTTTACTGTGGGGTGAGGTTTTTAAGGAGCACTGAGATCTTCCTGGGAAATAAGTGGTGGCATTCTTTCACAGATATTTCCCTACCATGTATCACGTATGATTATTTGATGAATAATTTTTAGATTATGAACTTCTAAGTATATTCCTTAACTAGCTATATATGTTATTGTATCTGAATACTAGAATTTGGAAGACTTCTCTCTCTCTCTCCCTTCCCCCTCTCTCTTTCTCTCTCTGTGTGTCTCACTCTGTGTGTGTGTGTGTGTGTGTGTGTGTGTGTTTGTGTATGTATGTGTGTGTTGCTAGAGATCGAAGCTTTGTGCATCAAGGTAAGAACTCTATCAGCTGAGCTGTGTCCTCAGCCCTGGAAGTCTTCCTTTAATGCTGTTTCCCTAGTGATAGCTGTAGTGAATCAGTATCATTGGAAGACAAAGTACTGGCTTGAGATTTGTCCCATATTTGAATTTTAACTCTTATACTACTTGATGTATGATTTTGGTGAACTATTTCAGTAACTACTTAGAGCCTGTTACTTTAACTGGTAAGCAGAGAGTAATAACATCTCTATGACATGCTTGTTTTGAAGATGTAGTTTAGAAAATGAAATTATAGGAAGTATCTAATAACATATAAAATAGTAAACATGTCATAAATGGTGATTATTAAGAGTTCTTTGTATTCATGAATTCCACATGAACCTCTTATAAGTTGCCATTAGTCCAGTGAGAATGATCTCTTAGTTAACTTTTTAAATTTTCTTTTAAAATTTTTTTTTAAGACAGACTCTCTCTGCATAGCCCTGGCTGTCCTAGAACTCACTATGTAGATCAGGTTGACCTTGAATTCATAGAGTGCTGGGATTCCAGGTGTGTGCCACCATGCCTGGCTTCCTTCCTGTTTTTAAATGATATCTCCAATTTATCTTTCTTTACAAGTTTTTTAAATTTTTTCTTAAGTTTTCTTTTACACATTATTGGTTTAATTTTTAACATTTATTTTTTGTTTATGTGTGCCCGTGTGTATGTGCTTGCCATGTCTGGAGGTCAGAGGTCAACTTTCAAGAGAGAGTTTTTTCCTACCATGTGATGCCTGGAGTTAGAACTCAGGTTTTGGGTGTGGTGACAAGTGCCTTATCTGCTGAGCCTTCTTGTTGTCCCATTTATCTTTCTAAAAACTGTTCTGAAGAACTTTTGTTCTAGGTAAACTCTAAAGGCTCTGCAGTAATGGTAGGCAGCCCATGCACCAACACAGGAGGACAGGACAGTCTGTAAAGCTGCTGACATCACCTGTGTCCAATCCCATTCAGACTTTGTTCTAGCCACCACAGAGTACAGTCTCCCCAGGTTTTCTGGCCCTTTTTGTTCCCCCTATTTTTTCTGCCTGTTGACCCAGGGAAAGAGATGCAGGGTTGAGGAGTGCGAGATGCCTTGTGTGGGGTCAGTTTCTGGGTCACAGTAATGGCATAACCTAAGTCCCTACCTCTGTATTCTGGACACCTCATAAGTAAAAAATGGAGTGATAATGGCACTACCTTACAGTATTTCTGTGAGGATTGTATGAGTGGCTCTTTAAAGTGCTTTTTGAAGTACCTGGCATGTAATAAATGCTATAAAAAGTTTAGTCATTGTTAATAATTGCATCCATCACATAACTTATGTATAACTTTCATATTCCCTATAGTACCAGATATGACCAGCATAGTTGTGTTTTCTGTTTACCTGAAGAGAAGTTACGTACCATCCGAATTAGAAGGAAATGCGGTTGTTTCTTATTCCAGACCAACAGGTAAAATATACAGTGATTTGCAACCTTATAAACCAAATTTAAGTTAAATGACTTAAGTGTTTAAGATAGAAAAGAATACCATTAAAGAATGTTCTTTTCTACTGCAACTCCATGAATTATCATTCCCAATACTTCCATGTGCTGTGTTAATGACAGTGTGGTCATACAATTTCCGTGTGTACTGTCCTCTTTCGCTTAATAGCAAATATGATGTATTTTTTATTAGCACTAGAAAAGTGTTCTCTAGATCATACTTCATTTATTTAAACTAAAAGAGCTGGTATGAATTAGTGAAAAAAACGTAGGTTACTATAACATTAAGCCACTATTTAATTTTAGATAGTTTTTTAACTACTAAATAAAACTCCTTACCTTCCATGTTAGAGTATTTAGGAACAGATCTGTTACATTTTCATCTGGAGTTTAAGTCAGTTTTTTTTTTAGATTTAAAATTTTTTATTTTAAAAATTAGCATAAAAGATATTAGATATCATTAGATTGTTCTTAATAGGCATGATTAGGTTCTCTCTAGTCTCGGAGTGATTATCATGTTACAAACTTGAACTTAGTTGACTTTGGTATGATTGTCTTTTCCTTTCTTGTGTGGTAATGATTTCATAGTAACACTTGGATGACAATTGGTTGTTAGAAAATAGTAATTGGTGGGTAACTCTTCAAAAGGTGTTTCCGTGTAGTAGAGCTGGAATCAGATATTGCAGCAATTTTACATTTGTGTTTTAAGAACATTTCTGGACAGTTTTAAGGTTTATTTTTCCAGTTAAAAAGTTTTTAAAACCCCGTCTCCATGTTTTAAGCTCAGTTTAGCTGCCTCGGCTTCCTTCATGACTGTATTCTCCTTGCTGAATCTTCCTGTTTATTCATTGGAAGTTCTTGATGCTCTGATGTAATTTTGGAGCTTAGTTGTATTTTTAAAAAATCTAGTTTTATTTGCTTTGTGGAGTACTTGGATTTAAATAGTCTCAATATTTATTTTTACTCAGCAGTGATCACTTTATCTGTTTCCCAAATTCTTACACTTTGGGGCTGTATACTCACCTTTATGTTTATGCAGATTTGATTTCATGGAAACTGAAAACTTGATAAAGGGTTCAAGGAGGGCAGACCTTTTGGTGACTTCTGAAAGGACTGTCAAGGTTTTGAATGTTATTTTTATTTTGAGTTCTGAGACACAGAAATGATAAATATTTGGTTGCTACCTCTAGATCCTTTATCATTAACTTAACATCTGAGTAATCAGTTACAGTATTGCATAGTTGTTTATAGAGATGGTTGATGTCTTAATTTATACAATTCTTTCACTAATATTCAAGGAAAAGTAGTGATACTGGTTGAAAATAAAAGAGAATGGCTAATGCCTTGTGGACAGCGCACTCCAAGTGCATTCCGATACTGTGAAATCGGCCATTGCTCTGTGGCCTGTAGTAGCATTTACCATTTTGGTCACATGTACTTTCTTATAGATAGAATTTAGAATATCATAAATTATTAGTAAGGCAGAGGTCCCGACACTATTTGGTTCACAGTTAGTTGTAAAAGAACATAAGAAGTGTGTAAAATAAGAACAAGAAGACAGTCCTCAAAATCCAAATGAACATTATTCCAGAGTAGTATCTATGACAATTATTCCAAGAAGGACTGACTGGAAATGTTAACATTGTGCTTTTACATTTTCACTCAGCCTTCCCACTTGATATTCTTCGTGTCTCTTGGATAGTGAGTTGCTTTCTTAACCACATTTATACTGGAGTACCGTTCTCATGTACTTTTGAGAACAGAGGCACAAACACATTGTTGAATTTCATTTACTGAGGGTTTGCTCTTCAAATAAGGCTTTTGTTTTCTTTGTTGGGGTGTACGTGCTATTCCTGTAAATTTAAATTATATTTTAAACAGATGTGTATCAAATTTGTCTTGTAGCTTTACCACTGATAATTAGTTTGCATTCTTTCTTTCCCACTGTCTTTTGCATTGCTTCTTATGGATAGATCGAAATCCTGATGGTAAGTTAAAGGATAAAGGGGAAATGAATTATTAGGCTCAAGTTTGTTGTTAAACTCAATGGGCGTTACACCATGATCAACCCTTTACGTTAGCTTACGTTGTAACAGACTCTTTAGGGCGATGTCTTAGTCTTGCTATGAAGGGCAATGTGCCTGTTTCAAGAGGATTCTCATTACAAATGAGGTGAAGGGTAAGAACAGAGTGACTTAAAGAAGATTTGTTTTTAATTGTACGCGTGTGTGTACATCAGGTTGGTGGGTGTGTGTGCATGTGTGAGTGTGGGTACCCTTGGGTCTGGAAGAGGGGTTGCATCACTTGCCGCTGGAGTTATAGGTAGATGGCAACTGCCTGGTGTTGGGAACTTGATTCCTCTGGAAGAACAGCTGTGCTCTTAACTGTTGAGCCATCTCTCGAGCCCTAGAATGCCTTTGTTGAGGAACACCAAAAATGACATTGGCAAATTTTTGCTGAAAGTCCTTAGTACATGTTCATTATTAGATTATTTTGCCCACATTAAAGAATAGAGAATTTAAAATGTACATGCCAGTTAATTTTAAATGTTCTTCTACATGCTCAAATAAACCAACCTGTGTCTGATAAGAACGCTATGTGAACTATTATACGACTGTCTCTTGTCTCATTCAGGATTTCTGAAAGATTGGTCTGGCCAGGCTGAACTTGCCCGAGCTAGTGTTGTTGGTCACTTTTCCATAGTGCACACATGCCAGGCTGTGCTAAGTTTACCTTAGTTTCTTAGGTTTCCCAATAGATGTGATCTCTTTAAGGGTGGAAATAAATGACTCATCTTTGAATTGTGGACTATCAGGGTGCACAATAGACATTAAGTATCTCCTAATTTACTTTCCCCTTAAAGTTTTATAGATTTAACACAGCAGATTATCTTTATTAAAGTTACCTTAAGACAAGTTTTAGATAATAATATCCACCAACTAGTAGTAATTAGATATAGTTAAACCACTGTTAAAACAGCAATATTTAGTTACACATCTTTTTCTTTTTCTTTCTTTCTTTTTTTTTTTCTTTTTAAAGACAGGATCTCTCTAGATAGCCCTGGCTGTCCTGGAGCTTACTATATAGACCAGGCTAGCCTCAAACTCACAGAGATTCACCTGCCTCTGCCTCCTGAATGCTGGGATGTAGCTAGAGTTTTCCTGCCTGGCCCACAGTCAGGACAAATCTCTATCACCTGCCAGTCCCACAGCCGCTCAAACCCGACCAAGTAAACACAGAGACTTATATTGGTTACAAACTGTATGGCCGTGGCAGGCTTCTTGCTAACTGTTCTTACAGCTTAAATTAATCCATTTCCATTAATCTATACCTTGCCACATGGCTCGTGGCTTACCGGCATCTTCACATGCTGTTTCTCATCGTGGCGGCTGGCAGTGTCTCTCTGACTCAGCCTTCCACTTCCCAGCTTTATTCTCCTCCTTGTCCTGCCTACACTTCCTGCCTAGCCAATGGCCAATCAGTGTTTTATTTATTGACTAATTAGCAACACATTTGCCATACAGAACATCCCACAGCACTGGGATTCAAGGCTTGCACCACTATACCCAACATACTCATACAATCTTGATGATGCAACAGTTTGAGTCATGTGGCTTGTAATAGCATGTGATCTAAAGGCAAACATATATTTATATGAGCAATGTCTTAATATTAGTGTAGATTTGTAGCTTAGTAATATGAAACTTACTTGATGAATTAAAATTTAGTTGAACTAAAACTATTACTATTTAAATTCTAATCTCCAGAATGTATGTAGCTAATACAATTTTAATTTAAATTTTGTAAATTACCATATTCTTATTCAAGTGATTAAGTTTAAAAGAGTTGGTAAAGGTTGTTGTCGAAAGATATTTACCCCTTTTATCATAAGCTCAGCTCAGACCATGAGAAATATCAATCAGAATGGAAATTTCCATATTTCAATATACAGGTGATCGTGATTTTTAATAATTTCTTTTGATGTGATTTAAATTATTATTAAATGCAAGGGGGCAGGGTTGAAATACACAACTGTATCTAGTAGTCAAAAGCCCTAATATGCTGTCACTCAGATCTCACTCACACATACGCTTTATATTTCACAGACAGATCCATTTTCTTGTCTTGATCTGTTCAGGCCGTGTTGCAGAAAAGCAGTTCTGGTCTCCCGTGTCAGAAAAAGGAAGTGAGGTTTATGCGGTCTCATAGGAGTTAGCCTCCATTATTTCTACATTAAAGTTACATGCAATGTAGCTAGAGTTTTCCTGCCTGGTCCACAGTCAGGACAAATCTCTATCACCTGCCAGTCCCACAGCCACTCAGACCCAACCAAGTAAACACAGAGACTTATATTGGTTACAAACTGTATGGCCGTGGCAGGCTTCTTGCTAACTGTTCTTACAGCTTAAATTAATCCATTTCCATTAATCTATACCTTGCCACATGGCTCGTGGCTTACCGGCATCTTCACATGCTGTTTCTCATCGTGGCGGCTGGCAGTGTCTCTCTGACTCAGCCTTCCACTTCCCAGCTTTATTCTCCTCCTTGTCCCGCCTACACTTCCTGCCTAGCCAATGGCCAATCAGTGTTTTATTTATTGACTAATCAGCAACACATTTGCCATACAGAACATCCCACAGCAATGCTATGGGCAGAAAAAAATGTGCCTGTAGATATGTTACCAGTCACTACAGGAAGGGTCAGGAAGTTCTGGCTACGAGACATTGCTGCCCCTCTGGACTTTCTGTTTGCAGTAAGAAATGACTCCAGCAGCCTTGCAGAGCGTTCACAGGTCTTCTATAGAAGTCTAATTTATAAATGTGGCTGTCCTATTCATGTATATGTGTGCGTGTGTGCGCAAACACACACACACACACACACACACACACACACACACACACACACACACACACATACACACACACACACACGTCCATTTTATTTTTCAAGCACTTGTTGGCTTCCTATTTGAAAGTGATCCTGGGCTGGTGTGTATGCCAGGTATAATTAGAATTTTAGTATTGGAAAATTGTTCATTCAGGAGTGGTTTTAATGTAACTTTTCTCTCTGATTGACAAATGGCTTTGTGATTAATTGCATTGTAGTAGTTGTTACTATCCATTTCCTCTAGCGGGTTATAGGAAGGGAAGCCATATGAAAGGGAGGTGATTCAATTTGCTTAAAAATTCCAGATCCTATACAGCAAAGTCAGACTGATGAATGACTCGGTTGATATTGGAATCCAATGAATGATGAACACTTCTTTTCTCAGCTTAGATTGCAGAGTTGAGTTAGCCAGCTAGGCAGACAGTTTTTGCCAACAGCAGAGAGGAGGTGTCACTGGGGGCACAAAGAGTTAAGACCAATTAGGCTTTTCAACCAGGTTCAAAACTGTTTCAAGAGCAACAGTGAAAAGGTCTTTATTTTAATTTTTCTTTTTCCTCTTGAAGCAAGGTTTCGTGTAGCCCTGGCTGGTCTCAAGGTCGATACATAGCTAAGGATGACTTTGAACTTTTTACCCTTCTTTCTGCCTTTAGATTCCAAGATCTGGGATTACAGTATGTGCTACCACACAGGCTTGAAAAGTCTATTAATCCAGGCAATTCTTGAAAAAAATCCTTTTATTTTATGTGCATGGATGTTTTGCCTGCATGTGTTTATGCATACCATGCCTGTTCCTGGTGCCCAAAGAGGCCAGAAGAAGGCATCACATCCCCTTGAACTGGAGTTACAGATTGATGTGACTCACCATATGAGTGCTGGAAGTCAAACACGGGTCCTCTGGAAGAGCAGCAAGTTCTCTTAACCATAGAGCCATCTCTCCAGCCCCCCTTTTCTTCTTTTTTAAAAAAGGTATTTATTTATTATGTCTACATTGTTCTGTCTGCACATATCCCTGCACACCAGAGGAGGACACCAGATCTCTTTACAGATGGTTGTGAGCCACCGTGTGGTGCTGGGAACTGAACTCAGGACCTCTGGAAGAGCAGTAAATGCTCTTAACCTCTGAGCCATCTCTTTAGCCCCCCTTTTCTTTATCATAAGTGTGCACACACAGCCTTCTCTCCGGCCCCTCTTTTCTTTATCATAAGTGTGCACACACCTTCTCTCCAGCCCTTCTTTATCATAAGCGTGCACACACACACAGCCTTCTCTCCAGCCCATTTTTCTTTATCATAAGTGTGCACACACCTTCTCTCCAGCCCCCTCTTTTCTTTATCATAAGTGTGCACACACCTTCTCTCCAGCCCCTCTTTTCTTTATCATAAGTATGCACACACCTTCTCTCCAGCCCCTCTTTTCTTTATCATAAGTATGCACACACCTTCTCTCCAGCCCTTCTTTATCATAAGCGTGCACACACACACAGCCTTCTCTCCATCCCCTTTTTCTTTATCATAAGTGTGCACACACCTTCTCTCCAGCCCCTTTTTCTTTATCATAAGTGTGCACACACCTTCTCTCCAGCCCCCTCTTTATCATAAGTGTGCACACACCTTCTCTCCAGCCCCCTTTTCTTTATCGTAAGTGTGCACATACCTTCTCTCCAGCCCTTCTTTATCATAAGTGTACACACACGGAGCCTTCTCTCCAGCCCCCTCTTTATCATAAGTGTGCACACACCTTCTCTCCAGCCCCCTCTTTTCTTTATCATAAGCGTGCACACACGGAGCCTTCTCTCCAGCCCCTCTTTATCATAAGTGTGCACATACCTTCTCTCCAGCCCCTTTTTCTTTATCATAAGTGTTCACACACCTTCTCTCCAGCCCTTCTTTATCATAAGTGTACACATACATGGAGCCTTCTCTCCAGCCCCCTCTTTATCATAAGTGTGCACACACCTTCTCTCCAGCCCCCTCTTTATCATAAGTGTGCACACACCTTCTCTCCAGCCCCCTTTTCTTTATCGTAAGTGTGCACATACCTTCTCTCCAGCCCTTCTTTATCATAAGTGTACACACACGGAGCCTTCTCTCCAGCCCCCTCTTTATCATAAGTGTGCACACACCTTCTCTCCAGCCCCCTCTTTTCTTTATCATAAGTGTGCACACACGGAGCCTTCTCTCCAGCCCCTCTTTATCATAAGTGTGCACATACCTTCTCTCCAGCCCCTTTTTCTTTATCATAAGTGTGCACACACCTTCTCTCCAGCCCTTCTTTATCATAAGTGTACACACACATGGAGCCTTCTCTCCAGCCCCCTCTTTATCATAAGTGTGCACACACCTTCTCTCCAGCCCCCTCTTTATCATAAGTGTGCACACACCTTCTCTCCAGCCCCCTTTTCTTTATCGTAAGTGTGCACATACCTTCTCTCCAGCCCTTCTTTATCATAAGTGTACACACACGGAGCCTTCTCTCCAGCCCCCTCTTTATCATAAGTGTGCACACACCTTCTCTCCAGCCCCCTCTTTTCTTTATCATAAGTGTGCACACACGGAGCCTTCTCTCCAGCCCCTCTTTATCATAAGTGTGCACATACCTTCTCTCCAGCCCCTTTTTCTTTATCATAAGTGTGCACACACCTTCTCTCCAGCCCTTCTTTATCATAAGTGTACACACACATGGAGCCTTCTCTCCAGCCCCCTCTTTATCATAAGTGTGCACACACCTTCTCTCCAGCCCCCTCTTTTCTTTATCATAAGCGTGCACACACGGAGCCTTCTCTCCAGCCCCTCTTTATCATAAGTGTGCACATACCTTCTCTCCAGCCCCTTTTTCTTTATCGTAAGTGTGCACACACCTTCTCTCCAGCCCTTCTTTATCATAAGCGTGCACACACACGGAGCCTTCTCTCCAGCCCCCTCTTTATCATAAGTGTGCACACACCTTCTCTCCAGCCCCCTTTTCTTTATCATAAGCGTGCACACACACGGAGCCTTCTCTCCAGCCCCCGCTTTATCATAAGTGTGCACACACCTTCTCTCCAGCCCCCTTTTCTTTATCATAAGCGTGCACACACACGGAGCCTTCTCTCCAGCTTGTTTCCATTCCTGATCTGCATTCTCACTAGTTTCTTCAGTTTAAAATAAAGCCAGTGTTGTTGATCACCCCTAATTTTAAAACCATGAGTCCATGTACCTGGTGCAAATGGTGTAGAGGCCGTGACACAGTGTTTGAAGAAAGTTTGTTTGAACAGTTAACTTAGATTTAGCTGAAAGTATATATCAGTACTTTGGTACAAAGAGTTAGGACCAATTAGGCTTTTTCAACCAGGTCCAGGACTGTTCCAAGAGTAACACTGAAAAAGTCTTTATTTTAATTTTTCTTTTGTTTTTCTTCAAGCAGGGTTTCATGTATTTGGTTTGAACAGTTAACTTAGAATTTAGCTGAAAGTGTATCTATAAGATTATATTCTTTGTGTATAGAGTAGTCAGAAGTTAAAGCATTTTTGTTGTACTATTCATTTAAAATTAAAGAGATAGAAGCAACTTTTGTTCTTTCCACACTGTATCTGTTAACTGGGGTTGTAACTTATCTGTTATAATAGAAACCTATTTAAGGCTTCATTTTCATAATTTGGGGATATATGTAATATATGGAATTTCCTTAAAGTTAGCAAAGAAGCAATTTGTAATTTTTTACGTGTGGTGGAATTGATAGCTGTGGCTTTGAAAGTATCTTAAAATGTGTTACCATAATATTTTGACTCCAAACATTTCATCATTATTAAGTACAAACACATATGCCCCTAAAACCCTCATCAGAAAGTGATACCTAGGGACTTTTCTGAACACACACCATTCTAGGATTCCAGAAGTAAATTTAACATCTGTAGGTTATGAACAAAATCTGAGCTGGGTAAGAACTGATGGGTAATAGATTGTGTGGAGAAGAATGACGGGTGTGCCCCACGTGATCTGAAGAAGGATGTGATTGTCTCCACCAGCAGGCCCAGCAGCACTGCTGATCTTCCTTCCCTCACTGTCCTAGGAGGAAGGAGACAGAACACATCTCCATCGTCCATGGGGATTCGGCCCCAACTCAGTCATCTTGACAAACTGTGTTTCTAATTCAAGGCCATATTTTAACTGCTTCTGCTTTTCCTGTTGGAAAGCTCCCACCGACTCCCCCACAGAGAAATGAAGAAATTAGTTTGCGAACGCACTAAGTAGGGTGGACATTTTGAGTTTTCCATTTCTGTACAGGACTTTAGTAAGATACCGATTTCTATGTTTTGCCCCCACCTTTCATATTATCTTGTCAGAAACAGAATCCTAGAATGAAAAAAGAGCAAGCTCATGGTTAAAATACTGATTTTTAGATTTATAAACAACTTTATAAATTTAGTTTCATTCTTGGTTGTTTTACAAAAAGAATGAAAAGTGATTTAAAATAATTTTGAGAATGAAATTATTCAGCTTTGTTATTAAATTAAATTAATTTAATTATTCAGTTACCTGCTTAACTATACCTGTATGAATACTGACAACATTTACCATTAAATATTAGGCTTGAGTTATAAAAATTAGAACTTAAATTATAATGTGAAATTGTGATAAAACCTAATTTTCCTAAGTAACATTTTCAATATTAATGTGTAAAATTGTCACGAACTTCAAAAAATCTCATGTACATTGTACTTTCACAGTAATAATTTATTGAAAATGGTTAATATAATTTGAATCCTCAATATGTAAAAATATCTAAGGATTTAGAATGTCTTGGGTAGACCAATTTGAGATATAATAATACAGAGTCTCATGGAAACTGAGTGTTCTTTGCTCATTTTAACTGATAGCTGTAGGCTGTGGCTAGGGCTTTGGAAATCTTAAAGAATTGTCTCAATAATTGAATGATGTTCATGGTGTCTAAATGAGTTGGTTCTTAAAAATATCCTGCTTAAAGATAGACCTCACACCTATGCTTGTTTTAACTCTTTAAAATATTTTAATCAATTCTTTAAGCATTTCATTCAATATATTTTGATTATATTCACTCCTGCCCTTCCCCCACCCTCCCCAGATCCACTTCTTCCTCCCCACACCCCCTTTTCTGTTTGATGTCCTCCTTTTGAAAATCTCCAGCCCCCAAATTTTCACTTTCTAATGTTTTAAAGAAGACTGTGTCACAGCAGACATCCTGGTCCTTTGGCCCTCACAGCCTTCCCATTTCCTCTTCTGTGATGTTCTCTAAGCCTTAGGTGTAGGCACGGTGTTGCTGATGTGTTAACTGGGGACAGGCACCCTATGTTCAGTTGTTCTTTGCATTTTCACAAGTTGTGGCTTTCTGTAATGACCTCTGTCTGCTGCAAAAGGAAGCTTCATTGAGCGGGGAGAACCACACTTGCCTGTTGACAGTATTTAGAGTGCACTTAGAAGTTATGCTGGTGTAGAAAGATGGCAGCAGCTGGTTCTCCTGATTTCATGGCCTTAGACACAGGTAGGCCGTGAAGTTTACAGTACCAGATAGGAATTCCTTCCAGCTGAGCAGCCATAAGTCCAATGAGATGGCTGTTGGTTACTCCCAGGACATAAGCACCACTATTGTACCTTTTAGCATACCTCTCTTTTCTGGCCGTTTCTGTGGTTTGTAGGCGTTGCACCTCTGTAGGACTCTTGATGGCTTTGTTCCCTTGGCATCTTGCATTGCTCCTTCCCATGCTGTAAGACCTAGTCCTCAGGAGGAGGCTTCCAGGTCAGTTCCAGCTAGATTCCTCCAAGTCCTTTATCTGGGAGACAACCGGGGTAGTGGCAATAGACTGGACATCTTGGGGGTTCTTGCAGTAGCCTGAAGGAATGCTTCCCATGCCAGGCACTTGGAGTTGGTAGATAGTCTATGTTTTTATGTGGGGTCATTATCACCACAACTGTGTAACTTTAGTTAAAAGTATGTATGCATACAAATACACTTATATATATTATATGTAATTTTAATTGAACATAAAATAGAATTTTCCATGGCTTTCTCAAGCACCCTCAGTGTAACTGATCCCTCTTCCTCTCTCTGTGTTTCCACTCCCCTAGGTAAGTCTCCCTCCCTGATTTGCTCAGTTTTCCCCATAGCAACGGTGCCATGTGGTCTCCTCTTCTAGAACCCCTGTTCCCCTCTGTGCTCTACGACTCTATGGCTTCTTTTTCCTTTCCTTACATCTGCGGTTACCTCGGGTTATATATCACACTGAAAGATTCCGAGCTCGGGTCCACAGATAAAACACTCAGTGTTTGTCTTCCTGGGTTACCTCACTCAGTATATTTTTTTATTTCTGTTCATTTACTTGCATTTTATCTCTCTCCCTCCCCTCCCCCACCTCTTCACACTAAAATGAATGAGTGAATGAATGAATGAATGAATGAATAGATGTGAGTCCTGGTAATGTTTACCAGTAACTTGGCTGGAGCTAAACGGAGAGGCAGGCAGCAAACTAACCAGGGCTCCTGCTCAGAATACACATTCTTTCTACCCAGATGTTTGTCCAACTCAGAGCTACAGTTTTAATTTTTTTGTAATTTCAGGAATTCCTCGGGTTATCCAATGTAAATTTAGACTTCCCCTGAAACTAATTTGCCTACCAGGTCAGCCTTCAAAAACTGCAAGCCACAAACTGACTATCGACACCAACAAACCTCCTGTCGGCCTGCCCAGCCTCTTTCCAGGTAGGACTTGGGGTACACTCCGTGGGGAGCTGGGAATGCTGGGGTTCCATGTGGAATGCTCCAGCAGCAGGTGTACCTGTAGGGTGAGGACCCACCCCTTCTCATGCGCCTGCTTAAAGGTGAACAGCCTAGTCAGTAAGGTGATGGTACACTTTCTATGTTTTATTAACAGTTTATAATCATTATTTTGCTTCAGTGTTCAGATATAAAACAATAAATGATTCTTTTCTAGGTTGGAAGTTTTGGCTTGAAATATAAATATTTATTGCTAGGTGTTACTGTAGACCTTTGGATGTATCCTGTTCTTAGTATTCATAACAGTTCATCATTACGGTCGCTTCTGAGGGTTGTCTCAGGGATGGCCATTCCTCAGGACTGCTGTCTACAGCAGCTGGAGGAGCAAATGCTCTGGTTGCTGAGTGGTCTTTGTGTCTTGGACTTGAGCACGCAGAACATCCCACAGCACACTGCTGAGTATGCTGGGGTGATTTCTGAGTGTCTTAGAAGAGCTGCGGCTTTGGCCACCTCGTACAGCATTGTAATCAGGGTTTAGAATAGACACCTGCCCGCTTTCTGTTTTCTTATAATTTCTTTTCAAACACTATATTTTGATCATGATTTTCCCTTCTCTCACTTTGTTCCTGATCCTCCGCAACACCCAACCTATGCAATTTTACTGTCCCCTCCCCTGCAAAAAAAATCCATAAAACCACAGAATTGAAAATCAAACTAGCAAAAGATAAAAGAAACAAACACACAAACAAAATGCCAAAGCAGAATGAAACGAAGAGCTCCCCCCACACCAAAAACAAAACAAAAACCCAGAAACTCATCAATTAGTTTGCTTTGTGTTGGTCAACTACTGGGTGTGGGGACGGCCCTGGAGTGTAGTTCATGTACTCAGTGACACTGCATTGGACAACATTGACTCTCCCTTTCTCAGCAGTCACCAGCTGCAGAGAGCTCCTTGGTTGTGGCGGGAGCCCATGTCCCCTCCCCCTCTTAGTGCTGGGACCCATCTGGCTTAAGCCTGTATTGACCCTGTGCATGCTGCACAGTCTCTGTGAGTTCATGTATGCGTCTGTCCTGTTGTGTCTGGAAGACACTGTTTCCTTGGAGCTATCCATCACCCACGGCTCTTAGAATCTTTCTGCCCTATCCACATTCTTAGTGATGGCATGGAATCAAAAGAAAAAAATCCGACAGTTGAACAGCCTTTTAAAGTACTTCATTAAAAGTCAACCCTGTTCACTATGAGGTGTATTTTTACTCTTGTGTTTAAGGTGTGATTTTTAGAATCCAGACTATTTCCCACAAAACTGAGAAATTTGTTGTAAGTCATCCCTTTGTGTTATTACATAAAATGCTTTTGTTTTGCTACTCATTAAAAGTAGTAGGGCTTATTTACTTTGGTTTTTATTTTGAGACAGGGTCTCACTGTGTAACTCTGCCTGTCCTGGAACTCACTATATAGAGTAAGCTGGCCTTGAACTCAGAGAGATCCTCCTGCCTCTGCCTCCTGAGTGCTGGGATTAAAGGTGTGCACCATCACACCCAGCCAGGACACAGGCTTTAAAACCTTCATTTATATATTGCCATGCAAAAAAAGTATTTTTTAAAAACAACCATTCAAGTCTTAATTTTGAATTGAGCTCGTGGACACATAGTGAGTAGTTTTTTTTTTTTATTTTTTATGCATACAGTGTTGTTCTGCCTGCAGGCCAGAAGAGGGCACCAGACCTCTTTATAGATGGTGTGAGCCACCATGTGGTTGCTGGGCATTGAACTGAGGACCTCTGGAAGAGCAGCCAGTGCTCTTACCCTCTGAGCCATCTCTCCAGTCCTCAGTAGTTTTTTTTTTTTTAATGGTTTCCTCCCTGTTATTTTCTCCTTTCTCCCCACCTTCTCTTTCTTCCTCTCCATTTTTTGTAACAAATCTAGACTGTAAAAATGTAGCACTTTGCACAAATTATTTCCTTGGATTGCATAAACTGCCATGGGCACATAGTTGGAAATTATATGTGGAACAATAACAAATTTATTGATGCTGTTGATACTGTTTAAGTATTGGATTCTGAGACGTTGACATTTATTGGCATAAACAGAGCTCAACTAGAGATTGAATAAAAATGTAGACTATTAACCAGGGAGTTTATCTTGGTAAGATACAACATAGACTACATATTTAAAAAGATTGGTGGCCCCCCACTTTTCTGCTGATTTGGAGCCTGTTTTGTTGATATTGTCGGGGTATCATGCCTGTCAGCCTTTTACTTGCTTTAGAAACAGCACTGAGTGACAAATTAGAAGCTGTTTTCCCCAAGATTGTATACATGCAATATGTATTTTTATTTTAAATACAATGAACATGATAGAGCCATGTAATTGTGAAAGTAATTCTAACTCTGTAATTAAAAGCTCTTATATGTTGACATTAGATACAGTGGCTATTTCAAATCTATATATTCTACTGAAAGAAATGGATTAATGAGCTTCATACAGAAGAAATAATTTTAAATCTATGTCTCTTCCTAATTGTTTATCTCCTTTTTTGTGAAGAAATATAGGGCATATGTGGAGTGATTTTACCTTTCATTACAAATAGATGAGAAGTTTAAAAAATAGATAAGTTCACACAAAGAACCAGCCAATAATTTACTATCCAGTAATACATACATACATCTATTTCTCTATTTTCTCCTAATGTTGCTAAAATAATTTTTGTAAGCATCTACCCCTCCCATAGAGACTTTAAAAATATTTTTAGAAACATTTTTATAAATATTTTCACTTGTGGCTTTGTTACATGGTGTTTTATTATAAATGGACACCATAAAATTATCTGACTCATTCTATTTTTAGATATTTACATTGTATTCTTGTGATATCCTTCCAAAAAGCTACTTTAAATTTATAATCATTTCTTGGATGAAGGTCTGAAAGTGGAGCTAACAGGTTAAAGGTTAAGAATACTTTGAAACCTTTTGAAATTTAGTGTAAAATTGATTTCTTTAAGGGCCAGAATTTGTGTTACATGATTTTTCTCAACTCAGTGAATATAAGCATTTTGGAGCGCAATCAGTTGCAGGTGAGGGTAACTTATATTTGAAGAGTGGATGTATTAAGTGTGTTTCGACTTGATGAACTTTAAATTTATTTTAGGATTATTGGAATCCAATCCCTTTATAATAAGGGAAGTGTCTATATTTAGTATAAAATGAATGCAATAGATTCTCTGGAATCCTCCAATAGGGACAATTTGTTTTTGTTTTGGAATCAATATAAACAAAACCTTTTAAAACATTTCAAGTTTTACTACAATTTTCTGTTTCAATGCTCATATTTTTTCTCTGTTAATCTCAACCTTTCCCCCTGCCTCTGTCTTTTTCGGGATAGAGTCTCTCTGTAGCCTAGGCTGACCTTACATCAGAGTTCTTCCTGCTGTGTACACGGGGTAATTGACATTCACCACTAGGTCCATGATAGTCTTCTGAAGTTGGCTCAGACATCTTCCTAGACAGCTGCAAATCGTAGATGTTTTCTTTGCTTTCTGGAATGACATTGTTTCTTAGGTTTATCCTGTGCACGTTCAGCCTCACACCTGTGCTCATCTATGAAAAATAAATAAGGAAAATGGAATCATTCTAGAGTGTTACTATGAGGCAGAAGTTGAGCAATTGGGAGCTGCTGTGAAGACCAGCTAATATAGTTCAAACATGCATTTAAATATTAATAAAGTAAAACTTACCCAACTAAGCTTCCTATTTCAAGTATTAGTGTTTATTTTGTGATTAAGTAGATGATTATTTTCCCTTTGCTTTGTAGACTTTGCCAATCAGTCAGATGACGACCAGGTGAATGTCATGGGTTTTCGTCTCTTAGGTGGTTCTCGAGTTACTCTTCTTGCTTCCAGAACTTCTCGTAAGTAGAACTGTGCTGTTACTGTTGCTAAATGTTCGGCATAGGACATTGTACCACACCAGGAACTTTGCAAAGGGTGCAGATGATGTTTTAGGTATAGACAGACAAGGGCCATGAGTATAAGATATGAGAGTTGTGGAGACTAGATTATATTAGGGACATGTAGCTGTAGTTTTGGGGATGAAGAGGGTTTGAAAGGAATTTTAAAATTTAAAATGGTTTTAAGATACATATACAGTGATTTGGGTTTCAAGAACTCTTAAAAACTAGAGTTAGTTTTCTTTTTTTGCATGTTTATGTATATATTTATTTTTTTAATGTTTCTTCAGACAGGTTCCCCCATATGTAATTCTACTGGGTTTGAACTTGTAACTTTTTTCACTCAGCGTCCCTCATGCTTTCAGTTCAGGCATATTTTACCTTGGGCAACTTAAAAAGAATCTATCTTTCTGTCTGTCTATCTATCTATTTATCTATTATCTATCTATCTATTATCTGTCATCTAATCAGTCTATCCTCTATCTGTCTACATATCATGTATCAGCTATATTTATATCTATATTTACCTTTATATCCCTATTTGACATTTTCTTAGTTAGAGATTCTATTACTGTGTAAAATGCCATGACCAAATGTAATTTGGGAAGGAAAGGTTTTATAACTCTTAGGTCATACTCCATCTCTGAGGGCAGTAGAACAGGAATTCATGCCAGGATCCTGGAGGCCGAAATCGAAACAGAGGCCACAGAGGAGTCCTGCTTATTGACTTTCCCAGGGGTGGCACTGTCCCTCATGGGCTAGGCCCTCCCAAGTCAGTCATTAATCTATAAAATGCCCTCAGATTTGCCTACAGACAGTCTAGATGAAGGCATTTTCTCTATTGAGGTTCCTCTTCCTAGGTAACTCTAGAATGTGTCAAGTTGACAACACACACATACACATACACACACACACACACACACACACACACACACACACACACACACACACACATGAACACACACAAAAAACCTAAAACCAACCAGGGTAGACATTGACAGAAATGAGCATGAAATGAATGATTGTTTTTGGCTGAGACTAATATCAGATAGAAATCCATTAATTATATAGCCAAGATTGAATTCCAATTTAAATATGCTTTATTAATTTAACTTTTTCATATGAGGAAAATAGTTGAAACTAATTGATTTAAAACTTCTGCTGTATTTACTATGCTAAACAAATTAACCTCACTTTTTGATATATACTTTCATAGAAATAAACATGATAGTAATACACATTTCATTGGGATAAATTGTGTTTGTGTGTGTGTGTGGACGATGGCGTCCATTAGAATAGTTTGAATACATGCCAGTTTAGAAAAATCTGCAGTTTTGTGGGTAGGGATGTGATTCAATGGTAGGGTGCTTGCCTTGGGTTTGATCTTCAGTACTGTGAAATTTAAAAAGCATCCTGTCATTTTAGCGGTCGGCTTGCCCTTTGTACTGTCTACATCTGCAGTCGTTTTGGCTGTCTTGCAATAACAGACTGAATGAAATGAAGACATCTTCTCTGAAACTGAAACTTGTTAGCAGGAGCATATTTCCTGCTATTGAAACTGACTATGTTTCTGTAGCTAAGCTCATAGAAGCTTCTTGAATATATAGATTGCTAACTGATGAAATAATCCTGAATGTAAGTAGTTATTCTAGAGTAAAGCATAACAATTAAAAGTTACTCGAAAAGAGAGAAGAAAATGCTATACTTTATATGGTCTTTGTGACAAGTCATGACTACGGTCGTTACATTGGCATCACATAGAATATTTCTAAGATGAGGTCTAAACTCTGAACAAATTCCTAAGTGCCCTGGCCACTGTGCTAAGCACAGGCCCCTGGTATTGTTATACTTTGCTTGGCTTTACTCTTCATTTGGATGTTGGAATCATTTTGGTGCATTTTCTTATTAATTTATCCTCTGGTTAAACTAAAAAATTATCACCAATCTTTCTTTTGTAAACTATGGAAATGCTGATTTGAATTAATGGTACTTGATTATTTTGAAGATTAATTTTTACTTATATGTATATCAGTGCCTACATACACACATATATACATGTATATATGTACATGTGTACACATATATACATGTATATATGTGTGTGTTCCATGCACATGCCTAGTGCCACAGAGGCCAGAAGAGGTTCTGTCTCCTGGATCTGAAGTTACAGGTGGTTTTGAGCTTGTATGTGGGTGCAGGGAACTGAACCTGTGTCCTCTGCAGGAGCAGCAAGTGATCTTAATGGCTGAGCTATTGCTCCAGCCCCAGTTGGTGGTGCTTTATAGTTAATCTTTCGTTGAAACCATTTGAAAAACAAGCTTTGTTTTTTTGTGTCACTGAGCATATTGATGTCCTACTGCCTTGGTAATTGTCCTCTTCAGATGAGTGGCCTTTGGAGCACTTTGCCACTTTCCTATTCTTAACACTTTACTAACACCCAGAGATACACAACCACCTTGTTCGCATCTATGCTTGTGGTCATGCCTTGGCATGGTTGTGTGGTGGGTGGACAGAACACAGGAAGTAGTATTCAACAGGAAAGCTAAGGAGTGCATGAATTGAAACCTGAAGGGCCGCTGCTCCATTTCTATGCTGGTTCTTTGACTTTAGGGATGCAGGAGAGGATTTTGTGATGAAGACGAGTATGGAAGTCTGTTTTCTGGAGTTAAGGGAGACATTGCTGCTCCTCTCTGTACCCTTGTGCCTGACTGATAATTGACATTTTCGTTTTTTGTAAAAAGCACAGAGTGGTAATTCATATAAAGAAATCTGGAATGCCAGATTTCCAACATGTGGAAGGGACACAGTATCTCTTCTCATTACATGATACATATGCTGTTTGGAATTGTCTTTAGCTCTTGGCTAGTATTTGCTGTAGATTACTCTGATTAATTTCCTTTAGAAACCTGCTTGAAAATCATGTGTGCTATATGGCACTTTTGTTTTTTCTTTCTGTGGGATGAGTCCAGGGCCTTGTACATGCTAAGTTCTTGCTTCACCACTGAGCTGCATCCCCAGACCCAGGGATATACTTTTGTAACTCCTTGTAACTGGAAGGACTGAGCAAGGACGACCACTCTTGTTGATGGGAAGGTTGATGGGAAGGTATGGGAACGTGGATGCTATCTACATTTTGAAAATAAAAATGGCATGACGTTGGTGCCTTGCAGGATAAGAAACCCTGGAGGGAAGAGGCTGTGCCAAGTCTCCACAAGAAGTTCGGATCTTGAGTTGTAAAGTGAAACCTGTCATCGCGTTAGGTTTTCCTTGGCGGTGATTTATTCCATCCAGCACTCAAAGCAGCTCTGGAGTTTGAAATGGAGACTTTCAGATAAAATATGTTTATGAGAGTGATTGTAGAATGGTACTATCAGATCCAAGCTGATAATGAGAGATGTAAAGATTGCAGAAAATTGATATGTGATGAGAAGCTAATGGTGCCATGGACCAAAACTTGTGGTAGAAGTAGCAAGTGAGTGAGACAGACAAGGTGGCAGCCCGAGAGCAGACTCAGTGCTCGTGGCCAAGGTTTACACAGACTGTACACCTCTGTTTTCCATCATATGTGGTGTGCGTGTGTGTGTGCGTGCGTGTGTGTGTGTGTGTGTGTGTGTGTGTGTGTGTGTTCACACGTACATGTGGGTGTGGAAGCTCAGGTTGATGTTATTAATCCTCCATTGCTCCTCCACCTTATCCATGGAGGCAGAGCTAACCTGGAGCTCCCCTGCACAGTGAGTCTGCTGCTCAGCCTGCTCCAGGATCCCGTCTCTGCTCCAGGCTAAATACCTACTTGACATTTACTTGGGTTCTGGGGATTTGGACTCAATTTCTGTTGCTTGTGTTATGAACACTTTAACTGCCAAGCATCTCCCCAGCCATAGATACATTTTTCTCTACGGAGAGGCCTGTAAGGCAAGATGTAGTCTTCAGGAAATGGGTGGCTAAATTAGAGAGATGGTCAGTGGAGACAAAAAATGAAGTGAGGTGAGGATACTAGATCCAACTGATCCTTAGCCCTTATCATCAAGTGAGAAAAAGACCCACATCTAGATGCATCTTTGTGACATTTTTGAGCACCATGGACCGAGAATGTATCGTATGGATTATAAAAGGAAAAATGAGCTACTGGCAAGAAATAAATCAGGATGATGTACTCTTTCAACAGAATTTCTTGTTTTCCAGATGTGGTAGCACATGGCTATAATCTCAGTCACTCAAGTGGTGTCACCAGGAGTTTCATGAGTTTAAGGCCACACTGGGTCACATAGCAAGACCTTGTATCAAAACAAATAAACAAAAACCAACCAACTAACCAACTAACTGACCAACCACAACCAACTAACCAGCAAAACCAGCATCAGTTGGTATTGGACAATGAAAACATTTTCTCCAGGCTACAGGGGAGATGTTTTTCAGCTTGGGCTTCTGTGTCCTGCTAAGCTGGTAACGAACAAAGAATACTAAATAGACCCCCATTCATGTATAGAGATTCAAAGTAGGTGTTTAAAAAATGGAAAGGGCAACCAATACACACTAGACTTTCCTATGTTCTGCTTGATTTTAACATGCTAGAGGGAACAAATGGAATAAAACCAAGTTGGAAAGCCATGTGCTTACCCACTTTAATTAGCATGCTTTTAGGCATAGTAGAAGAGTCATAGACACGTCCGCAAAGGTAAGTTGAGTCTTCAAAGTGTTTGTCTTTCACAAACACTTTCCTATCACTCAGGGTCTTGTTACATACAAGGCTAGCACATCCCTTGCAGAACCTGTGGATTACACCAGGATAGACGAACGGGTAAGGAGAATCAGTAATCAAACATTGATATACTAATAAAAGGAATAGAATCTGTAGGCGATATTGTAAAGATCTCGAGAAATAAAAATGAGGATTAGGTAAAGGTCAATGTTGGAAGTAAGAAAGATATCGTCAAATGTTGGTAGATGTGTAAGGGTTTTAG